CACTGAATTCACTAACCCTGGACAGGCAGAACAAGTCATTATCTCAGCCCCAGCAATCTTGGAGTCCACCTACTAGACTAGAGTGATGAGACTGGGCAGGATGGTGGGGGAATTCCCCTACCCCATGGAAGCTACACTGATAGAGCTTTTTCTGGGACTCTCCCACCATTGCTTTCACGCTAACGGAGCTGCACAAATGCCAACAGTTGAAGCCAATGGCCTTTAAACTATCTGACATCTAAACCTGCTCACAGCAGGTCTGTGGCACAATGGCTAGAATGTTGCTTGCTGATCTACAGCGTTGTTGTCCATTGCTACAGTAGATCTCTCCCCAAAGTTGGCCATGTAGAGGAGACCAGAGAAGAGTTGTTCTTAGAGTGGAGAGCAACGCCCGCAGAGAGCTAGAGTTTAGTATAACAGGTCACTTGGTATTTACAGGGTTTTAACTAGTTTGTTTTTCTGTATTTGTTTTAAGCTGGTAAGTCACTGGAAGGCCTCAGAGGGAAAGCAAAAAAAAACCCCAAGAACTCTAAACTTACCCAGTAATTATCCTTCTTCCTCAGAGAGGCGTTGTCCAGCAAATCCTCCACATCCATTCTTTTTAGACTCTGTCAAACAAACATGTGAGCATATCATTAGCCTGTACTGGGTCCAGTCATTCTTAAATTGTTCCTGTCTATCCAGCCCAGGTCACTGTACTGCAAGCTTCAACAACTTGGAAGACAAATACACAAGATGAATGTACTCAGTCTCTTGGGAGAAAACTTGTTCTATTCCTTGCACGCAACCTTAGCTAAATAACTTTCTGTTCAGGGGAAAAGAAAGAGGATTAGCCTAGAATTAAGTGTGGGGGGGGGGGGGGGGGGGGAGGAGGAGAGGGAGAAAGAAACACAGCTGCTTAACGATGGTCCCAAAAATACCTCTTTGGAGCTTTGTATAGTGAGCATTAGTTTCTGAAGATCTATGTACTCAGCAAAGAGAATCCTGCAGACCGTTCTGTAATAGCTGGCAGCCTCAGAAGGTCGGGGCAAATGCTCCTCACAGATCTGAAAGGTAATGCAGTAATATACTCAGCACTGGTGGTTGAAATAAGGCCCTTTCCCCTGCCAAATCCTTTACGTCCCAGTTTACTCAGGTTCTGGGCTTAAGATCGCCTTTCCTTGTATGTTATGGCTCAAAATAGCTCTCTACATCAATGACAACACAGAATTAGAGACTCTCTTCCCCTATTCCTGTTTGCTTTTTTCCTTCCAAAGGAAGAGAAGGGAAAGGAAT